TATAGTAAATTGTGGCTTCAACAGTGATTTATGGCCTCAGTATAGTAAATTGTGGCCTCGCTATATTAATTTGTGGCCTCAATATAGTAAATTGTGGCCTCAGTACAGTAATATGTGGCCTCAATATAGTAAATTGTGTCCTCGCTATATTATTTGTGGCCTCAATATTGTAAATTGTGGCCTTGATGTATTAGTTTGTGGCCTCAATATAGTAAATTGTGGCCTCGATACATTAATTTGTGGCCTCAATATAGTAAATTGTGGCCTCGCTATATTAATTTGTGGCCTCAATATAGTAAATTGTGGCCTCAGTACAGTAATATGTGGCCTCAACAGTGATTTATGGCCTCAATATAGTAAATTGTGTCCTCGCTATATTATTTGTGGCCTCAATATTGTAAATTGTGGCCTTGATGTATTAGTTTGTGGCCTCAATATAGTAAATTGTGGCCTCGATACATTAATTTGTGGCCTCAATATAGTAAATTGTGGCCTCAATATAGTAATTTATGTCCTTAATATAGCATATTGTGACCTCAATATAGTAATCAGTGGCCTCAATATATTAATTTGTGGCCATGTCATCTTAGGGCTACACAGACCTGAATAAATATGTAAAAGAATAAATGTTGTTTAAGAATAAATAGTAATGACACTATTACTATAAAATACTGTAGAATCTATTCAATGCGATGTTCATAGCATAAAACTCACATTATCAGTTGTGATACCAAATATGAAACAATAAAAGGATACTAAATTATTTTTTAATTAATTAAACTAATTAATTTTTACTTCCTTAGAATTAAAAATATGAATATTTTTTGTTTTTGTGCCTTTAGGACTGATATATGTAAATGAGCTCTGTTCTGATTGGCTGCCCTGTATTGTGCCTCATTCTGAAAGCAGTCCAGGCTGAAACACTCCTTATAGCTTCTGCATAACTGGGCGGGGCTGAATTGCTGCAGGCTGAACAAGCGGATAAAATGTTAATGTGTTGGTATTCATGATGTCACAGAAACAAATAATTTCAATAAAGTGTGGAAAATTCAGTTTTCCATCATTTGGGCCCTTTAATGTCAGGTGTGAGTGATTCCCATCATCAAAAGTAAATGCAGTTCTTTGCAAATATAATATTATGGCCGTTATTTTCAGCACTGATGTTATGTAGAAGTGTTGTGTGCAAGTCTGGCTCTGTTCCCTTGACGTGGGGACACAGACTGCAGGGATCTGGACACACCCCTGACCTCTTGCTGCCAGTTACAATAAGATGATTTGAAGAGGCCTTGACTGGCTCGGATGTGCAGGACTGAATTAAGTTTCTATTTGTGTCCTACATTCATGCGAATGGTGTGAAATATCATCTGGGATCAACTGCATCGATTCTCGGTACGGCGGACGGAGGTTGCCAGTTCCTCTCCCGCTGCCTCAGCAGGTCTGTTCATGCTGATTAATGGTGGCTGCTGGGTACCAGATCTGATTCTACAGAGCTGATAAATATTGATTAATAATTAAACATGAGACGAACAGCGACCAAATGACTAACCTTACATTGAAACACACTGGACCACAGTACTGAATGAAGTACTGAATGAGAGAATGAAGTTATTTAATGTATAATGTGTTTCTAATATTAGTGGCCCAGTAGTGATTCAAGTTTTTTCGTGTGAAAGTAGAGACTGTTAAACTGTTAAATTTTGTGGAAATAAATAACTTGACTTTGAATTTTTGTACTAACAAAACAACCCTGACACTACTGAATCTTTACCAAATGTTTCAGTAGTGACAATTTTTGCTAATAAATAACACAACCAGAGCCGGTTTATGAGGAGCCTGGCCTCTTCCTATTTCCCCCATTATATCAAAAACAGGACTGCTAAACAGCAGAGGGCGCCTGCGAGCGAGTCCTCAATGAAAGGGAGTAAATGGAGCTGAACGGCTAAAAACGAAAAGTTAAAATAGTTTCTAATCTCTCGTCCAGAACTTTCCTTTAATTTTAGAAAGTAGAAAGATGGATTTCACTAAAAAACAAGGAAAACTTGCCTATATATTTAATTTTTTCTACAGCAAATGAGTTTTGGGCAGCAGGATGCTAACATTACTGCTACTAAGTGCTAATTGGTTAGCATTACTGCTACTGAGTGCTAATTGGTTGGTGAGCGGAGCAGCTCATTGGCTTTTCACGCTCACAGACGTCATGAAAGTACGAGGCGAGTTTAAAAGCTCTTAAAAATATAACAGCAGTGTTAAAATGTTTTATGCTGTTCTGTGTTCAGGAAATGATTGTATTCTTTTACATTGAAAATGTTTAAGCATTTATAAACTATGATTTTGCTTAAATGCTCCACAACAACCCATTCATTTTGGACTCGCTCGGGAGCGCCCTCTAGTGTTTGAGAAACCCGGAAGACATTACAGAGTTGGAAATTCTCCTCTCTACAAGTTTTCTGGCACAATTAATAAATGCCAGCCAGTACATGATTAGCAAACACAGCTTTGAACAGTTCTATATAGAACCATTTCATGCTTACATGGATCTTTGCACGTTCAAAAAGCGTTTCTCCATTAATCGGAAGAACTATTTCAACGTGCAAAGAACCATGTCAGCATGAAATGGTTCTAAATAGAACCATTGCCTTTACTAAAGCCCCCAACTACTTGTTAAATAGGCCTAGTTACATAATACAGTGACTCAGTGTTCTTTAAATAGTGCCGATATCCACGATTCGCTCAAAAAGGCATATTTTGACTAAATCCACGCTGGATCGGAAGGACTGTCGAGCACAGAAACCAGTTTATGATTGTAACAGTATGTCCTTCTGTGAAAACCAGGTTCATAGAGCGGCCTAATAAAGAAATCCTTCCAGTGAGACCACTGCCTTCAGCTTTATCTGCAGGGATGGAACAAATTCTCCCACAGAGCGAGAGGATCCCAGTCCCAGGCTCTAGAGTGGAGTGTTCACCTGTCAGAAAATAATTGGTTTTGCGGACGAGACCGGGTTCAAGGTGTTCTGTGTCAAATTGCATATGCTTGAGGGCGCTCAAATCTGTGCTGAAAAAGCCTGCCGGTGAGAGATTACCTCTCCAATTTGCCGCGCTCTGGTCTGGCAGTACAAATGACATTGCAAGCAGGCCGAGTTGAACCCCATTGATAATTGTACATTCCAAGCTAAAGCATGAACTTCATCATACCATTACAGAGATAGGCTGTGAGAGCAACTTTTAATTGCAATGTAGTTCTGTTTTCCCTTCAGTCTCTTTTGTGTGATGTAATAAATTCAGTGTGCAAAAAGAAAGCAGTCATTTCTCTTTTCTTGTTCTGACAACGCAAAATGTGTGCTGCACAAGTAAAATACGTACTAAGTACAAACACTGAGTGTGTATACATGCAGTCAATAATCTGATCATAATCCGATTTCTGCAGTTATCCGATTATTCAAACGGTCATGTAAACAGCATACTCCCATCTAGAAATCCATTTAAGAAATCCGATAAGAGCTGGATTTTAGCTCGGTAATCAGATTTCTCAGTGCATGTAAGCTCTTACTCTGATTTCTTTCAGATTTCTCAGTCTGTACTTGCGCGAGATCAGACGGTGGATGTCGCGAGACGCAGCAAAACACTTTTGAAGTGGTGCTGAAACCAAATACGAAATAAAGGATTTAAATATTCTTCATCTTCTAGATGATGTATGTTCATATTTTCAGGTAAAGTGGCGCGATGTTTAAAAAAAAGCCGCGGCATGAAGTTCGAGTTTTACGTTACGTTTACGCCACCTCTTCTTCTGTGAGGTTACTGGCTGGTTGCAAAGAAGAAGTCCGATTATTGCCTGATTTATGTACACCTGGAGTTTTTTACACTATCTGATTACTCAAGTGCATGTAGACATGTTGATCGGATTACTGACAAAACCTGATTTTCTGCAGTAATCGGATTATTGAGTGCATGAAAACACACTCACTGATACAGTACTGTGCAAAAGCCAGAGACCACCTTTTCATTTAATATCAAAAAAGGCTGTTAAGTACAGTTTTTTTCGGGGTAAGGAAAAAAAAGCAGAAAACGTGTTTAACAGCTTCTTTTCTTTTCAGGAGACTTGCCTTCTGTTTTTCAAAGAAATCTGCAGGGATATTTTTCCACAACTCTGAAGTTCAGTCTTAGAGGTTGGTTGCATTTTCTGCTTCTCACGATCCAAATAATCCCATCCACGTCAGACGTTTTAACGTCACATGCACAGGGTCAAAAAGAAGATCCGGCTCGACGTTTTGGTCTGCAAAATGCAAATGTTCTCTTTGAATGCTCTTTTAACACACTCACGATCAGATTCATCTACTCGGGGAAGGGGTCCAAAGCACAACGTACGTTGCATGCAATTACATATTTCCACCACAGGGGGCTCCAAATTCCAAAATATATAAAAATAAAGAAGCAATTGGTTAGTAAACACAATGACTAATGTGCAGCTATGCTATGGAATTTCAGTAAACATAGAGCAGCAGTAATCAAATACAGCATGTGACCTGAATCACATTATGTCAAAAAATGACAACATAACCATCCAAATTAAAATCAATAAATTGTCCAAATGCTTGTTTGGAGCAAAAATAAAATTAATCAATTGTGCACTGCTATAAAACACAGGTAGATTCATATATATATATATATATATATATATATATATCTCTGTTTCCAGAAGAAAATCTTGTATCTCCATTTTTGATGTATTTCAGTTTTTGATATAATTTGAAAATACCTGTTGTCCTTTACATTGTATGTACGGAGTAAAAGAAACGGCCCAAAATGACTTGGAAAAAATTCTGGTTCCACTGACTTACATTAAAAGTAAAGTATGTTTTTCCTTCTCCTGTAAAGTTACCATTTTGGAGAGATTTTCTTCTGACAACAGTGATATATACATTATACATATATGTGTGTATATATATATATATATATACACACCTAGGACACACACAATATAACAAAGAATCAGACCACACTGGTTTCCACACACGTCTTTTTTATGAAATAGCTGCCAAAAATGCAACAGTCATGGTAGACTAACGACATATACTTGTACCCTCTATTTACGTGTTGATGCATCAAATACAAAGACATCGAATCCATATCCATTGTGACATAATGCAAAAAAATAACCATAGATATCAAAGTTAAAAATGATATACAAAAACATAAGTTTAAACATGCCATAATGCCAAAGAGATATTAATACTTGTTATACAGGATGCCTTTCAGGTGCTTAAGAAGAAGCTAAAGAAAAAAAATTCACGAATAGCTCAACAGATCTGAGGACAAATCTGAAAAAAAGAAACATCAGAAGAATTCAAACCAGTGAAATAAGAAGTCTTTGATCATGTTTAATCGTATCAGTTTGAATCACTGCTTTAATGACATTTGGAAACCGAATGCCCAAATGAATTTGAGCCCATCGCAAAGGTTTCGGTTGTGCAAGGATGGGAAACGCTGTGGCAACAAGAGCAGCTCGAGCCAGTTTTACAGCCTTGATGAGTTCCGCAAAAATCTGCTTTCTTTGTGGAACTGAGTGGAAGGGAATGAGATTGGTTCCCCACCTGCTAAACAACGAACGAGACGCGAAATGACAAACAATATGCAAAATATTTGGGAACAGAACAAAGAATGTCTAATGCCAATTTCAGTGCACAATTTCTACTTGCGTGCTTAATTTAAAATACTGTAAAATAAAAATGAAACATGTAACAGAAAAGGTGCCATAACTTTTGCACAGGCCACATTTTACGTTTTCTCTCAATATGTTCAATTTAGCAAATAAACATTGAGTGTGTCTGCATGCTTCAATAATCCGATCATAATCAGATTTCTGCAGTTATCTGATTATTCAAATGGACATGTAAACAGCAGATGTCTTAGATCAGAGTAAAGTCTGGAAATCCGATTAGGAAATCTGATAAAGAGGCTCGATTTTAGCTCAGTGATCAGATTTCTCAGGCATGTAACTCTTACTCTGATTTCTTTCAGACTTCTCAGTCTGCACATGAGCGAAAACAGACAGCGGTACCGGAAATAAGCGAGCAGCGTCGCTGCGAGACACAGCAAAACACTTTTGGAGCAAAGCTGAAACTGACTACATTTTAATATTTAAAGATTTAAATATTCTTCATCTTCTAGATGATGAAGGTTCATATTTTCAGGAAAAGTGGAGCGAAAAAAGCTGCGGCAAGAAGTTTGTGTTTTATGTCACGTTTGGAATCTGATTACCGCCTGACTCACGTAGACCCGGAGTTTCCCCATTATCTGATTACTTAAGTGCATATAAACGTTGATCTGATTACTGACAAAATCTGATTTTCTGCAGTTATCGGATCATTAAGTGCATGTAAACACACTCAGTGATTGTGCATTAAAGTGTGCTGAAGTGTGTTCTCTGAAGAGGATGTGTTCACTTATTTTCACTTAGAAGATCAACAAAACTTCATTGGATCAGCAGCGCGTAAACATTCGTATACAACGGAGACGTTGCCGTTTTTGGAGATGCAGCTCCGCCTGTGAAAGAACTGACGTTTGTCAAAGTAAAAAGTTTAGTTGTTGGAACACCAATCAGTCAGCTTGGGCATTGCCATGACAACACCAGAGACAAAAGTGACTAGTTGAGTGAGTTTACGCCGCCTGTGACAGTTTGCAACAATCAAACTGAGGGCAAATTACAAAAAAAACCCTTTTTTTTTTTAAAAATTGCGTTCGGTCTGCTAGATATCATCAATTTATGGATAAATTGCACATAAAATCCCGCTCGTTGTATAAAGGCCTTTAATGCAGGGGTGGGGAACTGAGGGCCAGCACAGTTCAGCAGATTCCCTGCTCTAGCACACCAACCATACCTGGTAATTAACTGCTGAATCAGGTGTGCTTGAGCTGGAAAGTCACCAAACTGTGCAGGAATCCGGCCCTCCAGGGCTGGAGTTCCCCACCCCTGCTTTAACTGAACAATCCCACCTCCAGTTTAGCACCTCCACTCAGCCAACCAGTACGCAGAGCCATATTCTAGACAAGAAAATTCTTAAGTGTGCATGGAAAGCGAAGTAACTCGTACTGGAACGTCCATTTGCAAAACGAGGGGTCATGCCAGATCAATGGCGACAGATCCAGATGACCACTGCTGGCTGGACACCAAGGTTATGCCCCAAGAACAAAATGCAGTCATTAGTCAAATGCAAAAATGTACATGGCTAGAATAATTTCCTATAGATAATTAATTTATAAATGCCTTATATTCTCTACATCTACTTTCATACATTTATATCTTTTAAAAGGCATCAAAAGTAAATTTAACAATATTTTTCATGGTATAAACGTGAGTTTAAAAAAAATGCAAACATTTGACACCAAATGTTAGTAACAGTCAGACAAATATAGGTCAAAATCTGACACTTCAGGAAAAAAAAACTTGTTTTTTCTCTACATCCGTTTAAAGATAATATGATTCTGGCTGACTCTTTGACTTGCAGAGACATTCTGACAGAGTTAAACAGCAGAACCGAGCTGCTCTTAAAATATATATTTGATTTTCTCTTCTCTGTCGTTTCTAAACCAACATGATAACAACAGCAATAACCAGTATGTGTTTTTTTTTTCCCCCAGCAAACCTGTTGAGTTAAAAAGGGGTCTGGAGTTGAAGAGTCATCCATCGTAAGTCTTATAATGCCGTCCGCCAATTTCTCGGTAATGACGTGATCCATTGGTGCTGATGAGATTTTGGCCATGGGGGTGCAAGTCCCTGCATGTTTCTCGTGTTCGTTCAGGCAGTCTGAAGTGTTTAAAAAAAAAGTACATTTAGAAAACATGCGTTCCGGTCCGGGGGTGAGCTCACACACAGTCTCCGTACAGGTACACTCGAGCCCACCGAGACGGAGGACAGACGTGGACGAGGACGTTACTCAGATTTATGGCAGTACAGGTCTTTTAGAGCTTTCAGTTCCTCAATGAGTGTTTTGTTCTGGTTCTCCAAAACGGCCACGCGGTTCTCCAGACACTTGACGTATTCCTTCTTCTTCCGACGGCACTCGCGCGCAGCCTCCCTGAGAAGAGAGATGGAACTGGGATTAGACCAGTTGTACAATGTCTGAATGTGGGCCTAGACTTTAGTTCATTATTCTCATAACACATACATTATTTTTATAGCAGTTAAGGAATAACTTACATTACATACTGAAAAATGTATGAGTTACTGAATAATTCATAGTAGTTACCAAATAATTCATAGTAGTTACTGAATAATTCATAGTAGTTACTAAATAATTCATAGTAGTTACTGAATAATTCATAGTAGTTACTGAATAATTCATAGTAGTTACTAAATAATTCATAGTAGTTACCAAATAATTCATAGTAGTTACTGAATAATTCATAGTAGTTACTAAATAATTCATAGTAGTTACCAAATAATTCATAGTAGTTACTGAATAATTCATAGTAGTTACTAAATAATTCATAGTAGTTACTGAATAATTCATAGTAGTTACTGAATAATTCATAGTAGTTACTGAATAAGTCATAGTAGTTACCAAGTAATTAATAGTGGTTACTGAGTAATTCACAATAGTTACTAAATAATTCATAGTAGTTAGCGAGTAATTCATAGTGGTTACCAAATAACTCATTGTAGTTACTAAATAATTCATAGTAGTTACTAAATAACTCATAGTAGTTACAAATAATTTATAGTAGCTACCAAATAATTCATATTGGTTGATGAATAATTCATAGTAGTTAATAACAATTCATAGTAATTACCGAATAATTCATAGTGTATATCGAATAATTTATAGTAGTTACCAAATAATTCACAGTAGTTACTGAATAATTTATAGTACTTGCTGAATAATTTACAGTAATTTCCAAATAATTCACAGTAGTTACTAAATAATATATAGTAGTTTACAGTAATTGTTATGGGTATAACAATGCAGAAGTTCACAATATAATATGTAGGCAAGGCACGTTTATTCATACAGCACCTTTTCATAAACTGTGGTTATTGAAAGTGCTTTACACATTAGAAAATACAAAGATAGTTTGAATTAGAATAAAAAAAGGGGGGAATAAAAATTAAAAGCATGACTGAAAACAATAGATTTGAAAGACAAAAAAATAAACATGAACTTCAAAGTCAAATTAAAAAATTAAAACAGTGTTTTAAACTGATCTGAAAACTTCTCAAGTGACAAAGTTTTCAGCCCAGATTTATAGGTGTCTGGCGTCAGGACTCTTCTATTGCTCTTTGTCAACTGGGGCCACAATTGGAAGGAAGCATGTATAAATAAAATAAAAGCAGCCCAAGAATTGAATCTTGGGGCACGCCACAGGTCACAGGCACTCTCTCAGAAAAGAACTGTGTTTTTTGCACGATACAATATTGGAATGATACATAAAACTTAAATGAATAAAAATGGAAACAGGTTTAATAAATGCTTGTTACATACAATCAGCATGACAAGTGATTATTGGATCAATTTAACTGATTTGCCTATGTGACTAAACATATTTCCAGTTAACGTCCAGAATGCTTTTACATTTCTTTTGACGTTGAGACACATCAGCTGCATGTGTCCCCACACTTACTCATAAACATAGTTACAACTTAGAAGATAAAACAGGGTTTATTTCCCTTTTTATTACAAACTCCACACGCCTTAATTGAATGCCTGACTACGCAGATACCAAGTCTGTATATCTGTAACCCATAACCACACCTGTCCCTATTTATAATACTAAATGGACACAGATGGTCTATATTAAGTATCCTTACCTGTTCTTCATGAGCCGCACTTCCCTTTTGCGTGTGGCCTCCTCTGCGCCCCCTTGACTGGGCAGGGCAGGTGACGAGGCCATGACCACTCCCGGGGCGATGGTGCTCGCCGGTGCTGTGCGGATCTGGTACGCCTGAACGTCCCCTGAAGCAGCTGCAGAGGAGCCACAACAACAGTCAGGATCACGACGGCAAACCAGTGTACATGCAAAACAACGGTTCATCTTTCATAGGTGAGATATTACATTACAGGAAGATGAAACCTACAGTCTTCGATCACAATATCAACTAATGTTGTCTGTGCTTGACAGACTGAATCAAAGCATTGCTGATGGCAAATAATGAGCAACGCTGCCCATCAAAAACAACACTTAGCTTTCAGAAATGTTTTAAAATAAATAAGAATCATTTCTTTGTTGATTTAAAATAATTTAAGGTATTAAATGCCAACCATTGTTTTTTTATTTGAGGGAAACTACATCACGTGCAAATATATGGCCATACATTTGACCTCATTGTTGTGATATCAGCACTGAAACCATGTTTGGGAGTCTCAATGTGTGCCATCAACAATAGTTCAAGAGTTTTCTTTTTCAAATCATTACTCAAAACCTGCTCTTCATAATTAAGGAAGACACTTTGATGAACATGAACCTGAGTGATGAAGCTAAATATACCAAACCTGTTAAGAAATGGCTGTTTTATGTTAACAGAGCCTTTGCAGGTTATTTCAATGTTGAAAAGTTACAGTAAAAGTCAAACATTACTCAGAAAATTAAAAAAGACTTTTAGGTCTAGACTTTTGAGCTTATAATAACAGCTGCAAGTAATAGCTGCTAGTAACATATTCACACGTATGTCAAGTTGGTGCTAATAGTCCTGTGTTAAGAGAACTGAATGGACACAAAAGATGCTCTAATCCGTGATAGAAGCTCACCTTGCACCACCACCTGATTGCTGGGCACCAGGATCTGCTGACCGTCACTGGTCTGGGCATACTGCAGGATGGTGGTGCCCGGCTGGGCGGCTGCCGCGTTGGTCATGGTGAGAGTCTGCAAGCCCTGAATGCCATCTGTGCCGTTATTGGCCAGCTGGATGGCTCCGCCCTGCGTGATGGCGACTAGGAGACACAAAGAAGCAAAGTGAAGATAAAGTTTCTGACCTGGCAACCCGAACTGATGGCTAACTGGTAGTAGATTTGAGGGGTTCTGTTTCATATTCACTCATTTAGAGCAACTGCTTTTTGAATTTGTACAACAATGTCTCATCTTGTACCTTTACAAAAACAATTCATCCAATATCTTCATGTGCACCAAATTAGTTCCAAGTGTTCTCAGTAGGAATTAGGCTTGCAGAGAGCGACTGAAACGTACTGTACTGGCCACTGCTTGTCTGGTAAATTGGTGTTGGCACAGTAACTGTAGTGATGGCAGGTGCAGCGTCTTCCTCCGATTTTTCCTCTTCGATTCGCGGCACTCCTGGAGCATCTGATGACAAGTCGTTCAGAATCTTCCTGCAGTGCCAGGAACATTTGTTAGGATATAACAAAAGACACCACTGTGGTTTTCCATATAAGAGCAGCACAGAAATATCAGTGTATACCTGTAAGAAGGGCGCCTGGAGAGGATCTCTCTGCGTTTCTGAGAGTCGGTCACACTGTCCACAGATTCCTGCGAGTCCTCACTCTCCGCTACTGTAGAGATCTGGTCAACAGACAAAGATTATCTGACACTTCCAACTATTATCAGTTCCAGAGAAGAAGTATAGAAACTTTATTTTGTATGTAAGTTCTTGAAACTTCCCCAGAAGTTTTGGAAACCAAGCCAAAACCAAACCAAAAATCAAGGAAGAAAGTTTGGAGAAAAGGTTCAGAATGACCCCCTTTTTTCTTTTATTCGTTTTCACTTATCGAGTTTACTCCTCAATAAGTGAATCATGCTGAAATTTTGACTTCAGAAACTTTAACCCAGGATCAGACATGAACTGTGAATGCTTAAGTTGCTTATAAACAATGGAAGCCTGTTGAAGAGAGCTAAAAATGCTGGTTTCCACTAATTTAAATACCTCATGCTAACTGGATCCCACTACTTTTCCTGCCCTGTTGGCTAAGACAGCCCAGGACAACAAAATCAAACAACTGCATGTTTCCTAGCAGCTGGTCTGTAAGCGGTGACTGACCTGCACTGTCTGCACCTGCGGTGACTGGATGACGGAGGGCTGGGCTGCCTGGATCACTCCGTGAACCTGGACCGTCTGGCCATTGGGCAGCTGCACAAGAGTGACTGTGGGCCCGGTAGCGGTGGCATGACCTGCACCAACGGTCACCTAGACACAAGAAAGAAAACACATAGCGCAAGGCATACAAGACTTAAGGCTAGATTGATTATATTTCACAGCTTGAAATGAATATCGCTGCCGTCAGAACAAAACATATGTATCTGCATTTTTGACGTTTTTCAGCTTTGACATAATTTGAAAGTGTTTGTTGTCCTTTATATCGTATGTAAACATGATGTCATGATGAATGGACCAAAAGAAACGGCCCAAAAGAAACGGCCCAAAAAAAGGTCTGGTTCCACTGACTTACATTGAAAGTAAAGTAGGTTTTTTCATTCTCCTGTAAAGTTACCATTTTGAAGATACAAGGTTTTGTTCCAACAGCAGCGACATGAATGCATGTATATATATACATATATATGAGACAAACTCTCTGTGTTTCCTGAGAACAGTGGAATACCTTGACTGTGACCAGCCTCTGTGGCCACTCCCTTTAGTGGCTAGCCACGAGGGAACAGGATGGGGTTTCAGCTTGTGAAGATGGTCTTTATTTCTAGGGAGCCCTACTGACTGAACACTGCCTAGGACCACTGAACTGGAATTAGGCTTTGAATTTTATTTCTCAGGATCAAATTAATAGGTGGGGTTCTCACGGCTCAGTTCACCTCATTTCTGGCCTTTTGCTTTAGGTTTTCTTCTTCCTTTCGTCTTCCTTTCTTTTATTAAAACAATATTCAATCTTGCACTTTGGAGTCACCGAGTCACTCGTGTTGCTGGTAGTGAGGTCCACAAGACCAGCAAGAAAACAACAGTTTAGTCTATCCAGACTACAGGCTTTTAGGCTGTTACTGAAGGCACTAGTCAGTCAAGTCAGGTCAAAGTATTTATTTATAAGTATTAATAAATGTCAAAGTAATTTTAATTATATAGCGTTTTTTACAACAGGCGTTGTCACAAAGCAGCTTTACAGAAAAATCCATGTCCAAGCCTCCATGAGCGTCGCCAGTGGTGACAGTGGCAAGGAGAAACTCCCTAAGAGCAAGAGGGAGAAGCCTTGAGAGGAACCAAGACTCAAAAGGGGAAGCCATCCTCCTCTGGTCGACACCGGATAGCAAACAAGAACAGCAGAGAGTGAGATTTGATCATCAGTATAAGATACGGAAAAAGGACGAAAGCAGGAGAAGCAATGAGTCTGATTTAAAAATAAATGCAGCAGCATCATCAGGAGGGTCGGTGGCGTACAGGTAGGGTTTGCACAGCGTTGTTCAGCAGGAAACTCCATGGTGGTCAGACTGGTCCAGAAAGAATCAACTACTGAAAGTGGAATTTAAGCATCATTTTGGAAAGCTTATAACAGGCTGCTCATTTTCTGAATTTTGTTTGAGGTTGGAATAGTGTAGTGCACTATAGGTCACTAATAGGCGGACCGCAGTCCGAGTCCGGACCCAGACGCTGCCCTACGCGGACCTGGACCTATAACTGATAAACTATGGAGAATTATTTAATTTCGATGGGGTGGTCCTGTTTTAATCGGCGTAACTCGTCTAGCCCTTACGGTTTCGCTTTAGCGGCCTGGGAGACTCACAGACCAATCGCATGCGTTGTAAATATCACACGTGACGCTACTCGACCAATCAGATCTGTGCATTACGATGAGCACTGAGACTCACACAGGGGAGGGACGAGGCAAGAAGCAGCAGAAAGTGAGTCAGAGGGAAGTTATTTCACATGTCGTGCTCTAAAAAGTGAAAACTGACAATAAATGTTGTTGAAATATGACTGAACTGTACTTTATTTGGTTTGACATTCAGTTATTAACTGCATAAGATGTTGATGTAACTACTAGGCTACTTCAGTAAACAGTATACGGCACTGAATCATGATGCAACTTACACATTATGATGTTCTGGACCTTTGCGGACCTTTGAGGAAATTTTCTCTAACTGGACCTCATTGAATTTTAATTAACTACCTCTGGTGTAGTTGGTAACAATTCACGGTAACAGGTTCAATCCCCACCTGGGTAAACACCCTACACTATACCAGTAAGAGTCCTTGGGCAAGACTCCCAACACTACCTTCGCCTACCTGTGTAAAAATGATCAAACTGTAAGCCGCTCTGGATAAGAGCGTCTGCCACATGCCGTAAATGTAAACGTAAATGTTTAGCGGTGATCTAATGATGGCGGTCACTGCTGCTATGCTAGATGCTAATAATCTGGAATAATCTTTATGAATGTGGAGTTTTTTCGGTCTCCAGTTGGTGGCGGGAAGATTCAGGCTGGGCTCAGGTTTAAAACCATTTTTGGACAGACTGAATTTTGAACTTCCAGAACCAAAATTTCCAGCACGAGTAAAGCTCTGCAAAGGTTTTCAAACGCACATCCGCTACGGTTAATTAGAGAATTAAATAACCGCAGAGACGCAAATCAATAAACTTAAGTTAGCATTGTAATGTACAGAGGCACAAACCACTTTTAACAGCTGCCTGAACATCTGGATGACTTGACATGTCCAGCAAATCTCCCACTAACTTAAAAACACTGAGCTACAGTCATGTGATTCGAGGACCTATTTTTGCTCCTGAGCTCTTGTAAACATGATCGCACAGCTTGGCAATCAGGTCATGGTCAGTGGTTACCTGGGTGAGAGTGGCGATCTGGGCCTGAGTGATCTGCTGGCTCTCGGTTTCAGCCACAGCTGTGTCTGCACCCTGCTGGGCCTCGGCTCCCGACTCCATGGTCATCGAGTTAGCTGCGGAGAGGGTGGGGCGAATTACAACATGTTACCACAGAGTGGGGAAAAAATGACATCACTGGAACTAAAACCCTCCGGACCCTTGTGTTTTAATTTTACACCCTGCTGGCAGCGTTGTGGACGTAACCAGAGTTCATTTAAGCCCTAACAGGGACAGCTATGATGGGATAATTCGAAAAAAAATCCATTTTATGAGCTTCACTGACCATATAGAGCACTTTGTAGTTCTACAGTTACAGACTGTAGTCCATCTGTTTCTCTGCATACTTTGTTAGCCCCCTTTTACCCAGTTCTTCAGTGGTCAGGACCCCCATGGACCCTCACAGAGCAGGTACTATTTGTGTGGTGGATCATTCTCAGCACTGCAGTAACACTGACGTGGTGGTGGTGTGTTAGTGTGTGTTGTGCTGGTCTGAGTGGATCAGACACAGCAGTGCTGCTGGAGTTTTTAAACACTTCAGTGTCACTGCTGGACTGAGAATAGTCCACTAACCAAAGTATACAGTCAACAGTGTCCTGTGGGCAGCGTCCTGTGACCACTGATGAAGGATTAGAGGATGACCAACACAAACTGTGCAGCAGCAGATGAGCTATCGTCTCTGACTTTACATCTACAAGGTGGACTGACAAGATAGGAGTGTCTAATAGAGTGGACAGTGAGTGGACACAGTGTTTAAAAACTCCAGCAGCACTGCTGTGTCTGATCCACTCATACCAGCACAACACACACCAGCCCACCACCACCATGTCAGGGTCACTGCAGTGCTGAGAATGATCCACCACACAAATAAATAATCCTGTGGGGGTCCTGACCACTGAAGAACAGGGTAAAAGGGGGCTAACAAAGTATGCAGAGAAACAGATGGACTACAGTCTGTAACTGTAGAACTACAAAGTGCATCGAGCTGATAAAGAATGATGAAGTGGCCAGTTTGTGTACATCCTACACAAAGGTTTGGGAACACCTGGTCAAACTACACATTTTGTAGATTTTCACACTTTTGCAAATTAATGTATAATAATTACTGTTTATTTACTGAATAACATACTGTTAAAAAATAGAGCATAAAATGTGGCCTGTGTAAAAGTTATGGCACACTTTATATTGCACATTTTATTTTTTCTAACATATTAAACTCAAATTTGCAGAGAAATACCACATTTGAGTTTGTCCTCTGTGCGTTTTGTCTTAGAAAAGAAGAAAAAATCCATTTGACCAGGGGTATTTAAACTTTTGCATACCACCAGATATATACATATCATCTGGAATTAAACCTTCTTACAATAAGGCACCTAAATCACAGACCACTGACCTTTCCTCTTTTCTGAAAAACAGCTTTTTTAAATTATTAAATTATTTTCAGAGAAAACAACATATTTACTACATTACAATTGTATTGTGTTATTGTGACTAGTATATTAGCTTATGGCTGGAGCTGTAGATCTGGACACTATAAAGCACAGCTTCTGTTTCAAATATTGTACTTTTATATAAATGTTGAATGCCCTGATAAAGCAAAAAAAAGGAAATATTAACATGTTAACATTTAGCCATTCTTTATTTTTGCTGTACTGAAAATTATAGACACCAAAATCGAGACGCTATTGTATCGTATCGAACTGAATTTTGTAAATCGTTCCACCCCTGACATTTACATATATCCACCTATTCATCATAAAGCAGATTAGCCCTGTGCATTCACATTAATGTTATAAAGTGTGTTTCAGCTTGGACTGCTTTTTGAATGAAGCCCAATACAGGGCAGCCAATCAGAATAGAGCTCATTTACATACATGAATCTTACAGGTGCAGTAATAAAAACAGTTTAATCATTTGCAGGAGACCAAAAAAGGCAGAAATGGTCACATACAAATAAAAATGACCTAAAAATACAACAAGAGCCAAGAATATGTTTAGCATATAGGCCCTTTATAGTTACAGAGCATTTTTTACTTCCTTGGCCAGTAAAGTGACCGCTCTCCGAGTTGTTAGGACCGATAGTTATTTATTCAGCAGTTTATTAATTATTTATATAGAGTCGGGCTGCTGTGAGGAACCGGTAACCTGTTTGGATTTTATCGCTCTATCCAGCCTGGTTTGCCCTCAGGGGCAAAAGTGTTCTTAAACAAACACCTCCAATCACATAGCACAGCCAAGCAGGCCATTCCCACCTGGACGCCATCCGGAAAGTTACGCAACTCTGAGAAAGGTTTCGTCTTCTGTGCTTCGACATGTAGAAAACTCTGGGACACAATTCTGAGGGGTATTCAGACTTTTTTAACCCACAGCTGTTTAAAGATGGAGGCAGCACTATGGGCTTTTTCCCACTTTGGCCTTTCAGCGTCTGAAGTGGACTCAGACCGCTGAGACCGTGCCAAACTAACTCGGACCCCTCTAAACGACCCCAGAGGGGTCTGACCAATATCAGGCTGTCATCACATCACAGCACACCGGTACAGGCGACATCTCTTAGGTACACTCTTAAAAGTTATGGTTCTTCAAGGGTTCCTTAGTAAAGAAAATGGTTCTATATACAACCATAAACACTCAAACAACACTTTGCATCATTAAATGGTTCTTCATATTGATAGAGAACGAGCTGTAGTTGGTTCTGTATAGAACCTGTTTGAAAAGGGTTCTATATAGCACCAAAAAAGGTTGTTCTATTGCTATGATGTCAAGCTTGGGACAACAGAAGAAACTTTTTCGGTGCTTTTCGGTGCAGAAAGGGTCTAAATAGAGCCAGTTCGGTTCGTTTGTCGCTCGTTTTGTGGTTCGATTGATTTGTACATTGTGAAAACAAAACGGCCACAGTCCACTTTAGCTTTGCTTTATAGTGGACACCTCGATGCTCGCCGTACACACAGCCACAGTCTTCAGCGCTTTAGCAGCTAAGTTTCATCGGGCGGAGCTCAGTGAAGACAGCCGAAAACGGAGCCCACCGCAGCAGACCCCCAGGGTCATTTTTCCATTTTTGTGCGATGCACTTCAGCCAATTTTTACAGCGCAGCCAATAGGAGAGCAGCAGGCAGGTCTGGTGGTTCCTGTCACCACCTGAAAGGTCAGATTCATCAGAGAACGCTGCCCACTTTGCGAGCGCCCACCGTGAGTGGCGTGGAAGAGGTCTGAGCTCTAATGGAGTTCAGGTCTAAACAAAAAGTGGTCTGAGATCAAGGACCAGAAAGAAAACTGAGTCCTCTTTATAGTTCACTTACATTGTGAACACAAAATGAACTGAGGTCATTTGCAGTTGGTTCCCTTCAACAGAACCCAGTTCGGTTCTTTTAAAACAAATGAGAAAACACTGTATAATGCGAACCATGGGGCCTCGTATTAGAGCAAAAAAGCCTGATCCAGCCGCCGTTCCGCGACAGACAAGACAGGAAAGAGGCCACTTGTAAATTACTGATAGTTTCCAGAATGTAAAGGCCAAACTTAAACATTCCGGCGATTGGACTCTATTAATAGCCGCCGCGCGTTCTTCCGAAATGCAAGCGGAAGCCTGCTGTTTCTCTCTGCTCGGGAAAAGTAGCCGTAAATCAATGATTTGGACTCGGTGAACTCTGGAGAGGCCAGGAGACAGGAAGACCACGTTACTGTTCTGAATATTAATGGGCCCCAATCGACATCCTACACAGAGACCCGCCACCAACCCGAGTCATTCTGTTTTGCATGCAGGTATAAAAAAGACTGAATAACGAATACAATTTGATCCATATGAAGTAAAGGTTAAATTGATAGTGAGCACTTCTGAAGAGCAACACTTCAGACTTTTGTTGGACTGCAGTGCCACTAACAAGGAAACGTAAGGCGTTCTCCACACATACAACATCTACATGCTTAATTGGAGTTTTCACGGGGGATTTTTCAGCTGTGCTAACTTACATTACATCCATGAGCTAACGACAGGTTCGTACAACGCTGTCCAGCGCACCATCGTTTAGGAATTTCATGCTCAGTATGTTCCCATCTTAATAACTGTACATTCCCACCACGTTTAGCTCCAGATTTCTTCGTTACAAGATCACTTCTGGGCCCGCGAGACTGGCCGATAGGTGCTAATGGTGTGTAAACAAACTAGAAGCTAAGCGTTCAATGTAGTGAAATAAGGTCTAAGTAAGCAAATCATTAAAATGAAAACTTTTCACAGTAATAAAGTAACGAATTAAGGGTTTAAAACATATTAAACACCTTTTCCCCCCATTATTTATGGTGTTGAGACGGTGCTTTATACATATAATAAATACCAAGCTATGATTATGGGCCATAAAACCTTTCTTACAGGAATAAAAGCACGTGTTTTGTCATTCTTCAAACCTGTTCTCTTGCAAATGGATACATAGCATAAGTAGAGATTGGAATCTCTAGCCATCTAACAATCAGACTTGATGGTGGTGTAGTGTACTGGGTAAAACCTTTGCCTTCTATGCTGCAGACTGGGATTCAATCCACCACCGAGCCCAGCACCCTACACTATACCAATAAGAGTCCCTGGGCAAGACTCCTAACACTACCTTCGCCTACCTGTGTAAAATGATCAAGTCGCTGTGGATAAGAGCGTCTGCCAAATGCCATATATGTATATTTATGGTGCCAGGAGGTAATTATAAAACGATCCTTAATGCAGCTCGATTGGTCTATTTTTGTAGCTCATACTATGATTTTTCTCACATTTGTCCATCTTCACAGGTAAGGTTAGTTTAGATAAAACTGAATGTAGCCGACATGCAGCACATTCATTATGTCTACGTCCAGATTCAAACTACACTGATAACAGTCTGACCACCTCCTTGTTTCTACGCTCATTGTCCATTTTATCAGCTCCACTTACTGTATAGGTGCACTTTGTAGTTCTACAGTTACAGACTGTAGTCCATCTGTTTCTCTGCATACTTTGTTAGCCCCCTTTGCTCTGTTCTTCAGTGGTCAGGACCCCCATGGACCCTCACAGAGCAGGTACTGTTTGGGTGGTGGATCATTCTCAGCACTGCAGTAA